GAGCAGGGACGGGGGATCCGGGCTGGCAGGAGGCCCTGAGGAGGGGAGATTGGTTCTGGCAGGAGGCTGCGGGGAGGGGAGATCAGGGCTGACAGGAGCGATGGGGCTCTGAGGAGCAGGGACGGGGGATCCGGGCTGGCAGGAGGCCCTGAGGAGGGGAGATTGGTTCTGGCAGGAGGCTGCGGGGAGGGGAGATCAGGGCTGGCAGGGGCGGTGGGGCTCTGAGGAGGGGAGTCGGGGCTGGCAGGGGTGGGGGGGCTCTGAGGCTGGGTCGTCAGAGCTAGCAGGGGGCTCTGAGGAAGGGGGGATTGGGGCTGATGGGAGCATTGGGGCTGGCAGGAGCTCTGAGGAGGGGGGAATCAGTGCTGGCAAGGGTGTTGGCGCTGGCAGGGGCTCTGAGGAGGGGGGATCGGGGCTGGCAGGGGACGGCTAGGGGGCCCTGAGTCGGGAGTAGCGCTGGAGAGATGGTATCCAGGCCCTTGATTCCATCAGCAAAGGCCAGACAGGCGGTATTCATTTGGGGCCACCTTCCACCACACCTGCTGTGCAGAGAGCAGGAGGAGGAGAAATTACTGCTACCATCACTGGGTGAAATGGGCTGAGTCATAGAATCGCAGAAGTGTAGGACTGGAAGGGACCTCAGTAGGTCATCTAGGTCAGTCCTCTGCGCTCAAGGGAGGACTAAGTAATAAGTAGATCATTCCTGACAGATGTTTGTCTAATCTGTTCTTAAAAACCTCCACTGTTGGAGATTCCACAACCTCTCTAGGCAATTTATTCCAGTGATTACTACCTTGATAGTTAGGCAGTTTTTGCCCAACCTAAATCTCCTTTGCTGCAATTAAGCCTGTTGCTTCTTGTCCTATCCACAGAGGTTAAGGAGAACAATTTTTCACCCTCCTCTTCGTAACAACCTTTTATGCATTTGAAAATTGTTATCGTGTCCCCCCTCTGTTGTCTCTGAAGAGACAGATGCATCTGTCATCTCCCCCTGAGCCTTCCCCATAAAGGAATCTCCATCAATATATGTGTAAGGAGGAGAGCTCAAATGTGAGTTGGGATGGGTTATTCCTGGGGTACTTGGGATGATGGGTGCTTATGTGGAAGAGGTTACACTGGGGCATTTGTGGGGGAGTTGTGTGGAAGAGGTTAGTCCTGGGGCATTTGGGGGCAGCTTGTGGATAGGAGTTTACTCCTGGGGTATTTGGGAGGGTGTTGATGATTAGGAGTTACACAGCAGGGAATGATACTTACGTAGATCGTATCTTGTTATGTCCACCTTGTTTGTTTTTGAGTAGGAGCAGAAACTGCAGCAGGAGAAGGAGATCTCCCGCAGCCGCATCCCCCGCCTACTCCTTCGGCCTTATGTATCCCAACAGCAACAGCAACAACAGAAAGTGTCCCCAGCCTCCGAGTCACCCTTCTCAGAGGAGGACAGTAGAGAGTTCAACCCCCGCAGCTCTTCTGGAGGCTCAGCAAGGACCATCAGCAGCAACAGCTTCTGTTCAGGTACCAGCACCAAACAGAGATGTCTGGCCTGATTTTCCTCTCATTTAACCCCAGGGTAAATTAAGAATAACTCCATTGACATATGTGAAGTTTGTGTTAATGATTGGAGAATCAGGTCCTGTGTGTGTAACGTGTTTGGAGAGTAAGAATACGCTGGCATGCAATTGTTTTTCTTTATATGCTTAGTATAGTCATTGATGGGGATAGTGAGTACATTTACTGCCCTATTTGTTTATTATTATTTATTCATATGGTGCCTTAGGCATGCATAGTGCTTTGCAGACAAAAATAAAAATTGATTTCCACTGAAATCCAATATCTGGTTTTTTTTCATGTCTGCAAGTGACACCAGATGTTTCCATTTCAAATTCTAAAGGCTTTTCTTTCCTATCCATTGCTAAAAAGTTGGAATCTTTATTGCAACAGAACAGTTTATTAGGGATACATTTCGGTGAAGAAAGAGTCTTAAAAACTATGGTGTTTATCTAGAGAATGTGGACAAACCTGAAGCCAAGGGAGCTAGATATGTAAAATAGGAGAGCTAGTTGCCATAGGGGATTACAGACCTGGGTCATGTACTGTGGTTGAATTTTTTTACATAGAACTCCACACTGATTTCATGTAGTGTCCTATGTGTGGATCAGTAGCAGAATATAAACCAGTGTGGCCAGGCAGAAAAATGGTGGCTGCAATCTTTAGTGTTAAAATGAAATTAACATTGTTTGAAAGTTTAACCTTCTTCCAAAGAAATGTAAATATTTAGCTTCACATACAGCATACAGGACACAGGTCCTGTGGAAAGTGCAATGGCTCAGTGATGTATCAGATGACAGAAATAAACTATAATTCTTGAACTACGGTACATGCTGTCTTTTGCTAAGACTGACTTTTGTGAGACTTTTAAAAATACATAACTAACTACCCTTTATGACATAGAAAATGTTAAACCAACTATCTAATATTACGCAATTGCTTCTATAGAATCTAGCATACTTTCAGATCCTATTCTGCAAAACTTATGTACATACTTAATTTTATGCATTGTGAATAGTCCTATTGATTCTGTGGGAGTACTCACAGTGTGTAAAGTAATGTACGAGAAAATATTTTTGCAGAATCAGGGACTATTTCTTTTAATTCCTTGGTACACACTATGCCAAACCACAAGATGCAATTATTTTTTCCAAGTGAAGCTAGAATAGAATAATTTCTAATGGGCATTCTGATTTTTCCCTCCAAAATTGGATCCAAATTATTTTGTATTGTTTTCCCTAAACAGTAGTGGAATAGTTAAAATACATGCAAAAATAGTTAACTTTCTTAGATAAGGGATAATATTTTCAATATCCATCCATGGTTACAGTATTGCACCCTTATCTCTGATATATTTCAGAGTGCAATGATCTATTAGATTATCGTTTAATGAATAAAGGGCATCATTAAAAACATTGAGGGTGGAAAAAAGGCTTCCTCCTTATCCTTCCGAGACTTTTGAACAGTTCCATCTTATGCTTTTTTAATTTATGAGTTTATATATTTCTTCATATATTACTGTACACAGGATATAGGAGTTGCCTAAAGGAATCTTCCACTGAAATTATTATTAAAATGGTGCCTTTTAGAATTACATTTTTTAAATATCTCCAAAATTTGCCCCTTCTTCACTAGTGCCAGAACCTTTGCCTGTGCCCCAACAGTTTCTCACTGTGACTATTGCAACATTCTCTTTTCTGGTCTCTCTTATTTTCATCTCTGATTTTTGAAGTCCATCCAACATACTACAACCAAAATTATTTGCTGCTGCTCCAACCGTATAAATCCTCTCTTTGAATGCCCATAATAGCTTCCTACCTCCTTCGGTGTATATATATCTATAATTCACTGTTTTTGGCATTTCTAAAGCACCAATTACAGCAATATTAAGAAGTACAATATTCAAGCTCTTCCGCCTCAAGACCCTGCACAGTTTTTAATGTCTGCATTCTGTTTCTAATCATCTCTTATTCACTCCACATGCCCTGTGCTAATTCATCTTGATGCTCGTTGTTTTTTCCTACTAGTAGCTGTATGCCTTTTTTCGTGCCACCCCTTTGGTTTGCCAGGAACATCCTCTCCAACATGGTACACTACACAATTGGACTTGACAGAGGCCTCCTCAATATTTGCTGCTTTCAGTTAAAAAATTATCACTGACCACCAGCCTGGCCTTGCCTAACTGTCCTCCAATTTTAAAGCATGTATTCTTTAAAAAGAGGATCTTACAACATGCATGCATAACATAACAATACATGCACCTTGAGATTGGTCACTCCTGTCTCCCTTGGCCTCTGGTACCTCCTTCCCAACTGTTGTTTATGGTCATCCCTTGCCTTGTTGTGTCCAGTTTGGATTGTAAGGACCTCAGAACAGGGACCTGTCATCTTTTTGGTTTAAAAGTGACATACGCAGCTATAGTGGTTAAGCTTAACAAGTAATAACTTCGGGAAAGGTGGACAGATCATCAGGAGGTCAACATGCTGGTGACGAAAAAAGCCTGTGAGCATTAGAGTGAAAAATCTAGAACCTTCCCCTCCCATAACCACCATTACACACATGAGAATCCAAAATAAAAAAATTACCTAACTGTGTAAATAGCAACTGCAAGTGAATCAACACCTGGAATAATTCCTTTCCCTTCACCCCTTCCCTTGAAAATCTCTACCTGCCCTTCTTCCCTTATCATTGACACTATGCTCTTCTACTATGGAAAGCTCTTTTAAAAAAATATAGAATCAGCTCTCCTCCCTAGTGCACTGTGCATATGGCTCTGCTGTTCGTATCCCCAGAGCTTCTGAGCCTGTTAATTTTCCTTGTCTGCCTGCACTGGCCCTGATGCATACCAGAAGGCTTCAAGTTCTTCTCCCTCTGTAACTGACAGGAGAAGAATCTTCTGGGGCCTGCTAATGTTGTTTCAGGCAGGCAGCGGGCAGAAAATAAAAGGGTTCAGGAC